TCCTTAAGGATCGTATTAGATATTAATGGTATGGAGAGAGGTAATTAGTATAGGAATAAAACGTTTCGAAAGCCATGAAGCAGACACAGAATAACTTACAGTTCATCATCAACATGTTGTGGTTTAGGCATCCTGTATCCGTCCTGAAGTAAGCTTACAATCTTCCTGCCATCCATTCGTGGATATGGAGAACCCCCTAAAAGGGAGAAAGTGACCAACTGTTACGATACTTTATTACTTGGCATGAGTTCTCCCAAAATTTGTTGTTGTAGTTGTTGCTGTTTTCACTCAAAATGAAAGGAACTAAATGTAAGTGGCTGTAAGGACAATTTATTTACGCACTCGCCTCTTTATCTGCCTCATTTTGGCACCAGGGGAACTAAAAAGACCGTCAATTTAAGTCATGGTGTAAGTACCTGCTATGATAAGGTGACAAAAATTATCAGCGCACTTTGGCAAAGTAGCGTGAGACAGTTGTCTCCCTGGACGTCAAACATTTCAACCAGAAGTTAATCTGAAAAGGTTTCTCAACTACCGTGTAGCATGAAAATTTTGCGGGAGTTTTATTTTGCGGATTGGCGATTTTTTGTGGTTTGCGGGAACAAATTTTTGCGGTTTGAGATGACTGAAAATTTCTGGTGGGACCTAATTTTTGCGATTCTCTGTTCAAGTAGCAGAATATTTAAGTGGAAGAAACCTTACTATGGTATTTTCAACTTTTATTTTACGGTATGTTGAGTCAAAGTTCACTCTACTTACATATTTAATGGAGAATAATACGCTAATCACTGTAATATCTTACTGCACAAAGGGACCGAACAACAGCAAAACAAAACAAAAGCCTATCCCTACCATACACAACAAGTCCATTAAAAGCAGAGTTTTTAATTTGACTGAAGGGAGTTAACTTTTGCGGCGTTTTATTTTGCGGGTTTTTTTTCTGCGGGACCTAATTTTTGTGGATCAAGGTCAATCCGCAAAATTCGCAAAAATTAGAACCCGCAAAATTTTCATGCTACACGGTAGTCAATCTAATCAATCAGGGTATCACTCAAGGGGTTTTTAAAAGGCCTGGTTCAAAGGTGTGTTCGAATGAATGGTTAGCAATATCTCTCGCTAGGAGACCTAGATTAGAACAAAATAACTTTCCCCCAAAACTAAATCTTGAGGTTTTCTTGTGCTTGAACGTGACATGTCACGTGACCAAAAATCGAAAATTAAGGAAATTGGTGGATTGGTGGGGAATTTACTTTGTTTGGATAAAAAAGTTGGCATTTCTGAAAGAGCATAAACATACCTAACGTTCTAGATTTGGAATGAATGTACGCATCCTGGGAGACCCCGGGGGCGGTCAGTGGAGCCGGGAGAAAAGGCACGACGAAAGTTTTCAAGCACAGGCGGAAAAGCCCCTGGGTACCGACTATCACCGGACCATTTCCAAACGGTCAAGCGAATGCTGGCTCCTCAATGGGCACAAAAAATGCGTTGTATTATTGTGTCCAATCGGCGAACAGTATCTCCAAAGTTCTTTTCGTGAGTAGGTAGGTACTCAACGGCTATTGTGGGGGCTTTTCAACCTATCCTCATCAGAGTTAAACTGTTCCTCATTAAAGCTCAGATTCTCCTTTGTTCGTGTTACAATAAAGCTAGGTTTATAGACGTTCGGTTTCGCCTGCTTCTTTTCAGTTCGTTTTTGCCGTTTGCTCTTAACTGGTGGTTTCACTGGTTTTGCTTCGACTTTACGTTTCGCTGATGTCGCCTACTTCTTTTCAGTTCCTTGCTCTTAACTGGTGGTTTCACTGGTTTTGTTTTGACTTTACGTTTCGCTGATGTCGCCTGCTTCAATTCAGTTTGTTTTCGTTGTTTGCATTTCACTTGTGGCTGATCTATAGGCCTTTTTGGAGTTACCGTTTCAGGTTTACATAGGGTTATCTCCTGGACTGATAACGCCTTGGTACTTGTAGTCATGTTGGGATAGCAATGACAGATACCAAACACGTCTGTAACCACTTGTTTACCCATTGTTGTCTTTGGCTGATTATCTACCAAAAGATACCCATAAGGCTTTTTGGTTTCTTTCGCATATGCGTCCATAAAGTTTGGCCGGTCTTTTGCAAAAATCCGCTCTGCGATAATGTCAATTTGCTTTCTATCGCTTGGGCTGCGAAACAGAACCATGTATTGGGCACTTCTTGAGATGTATGTATTAAATTTCCCTTTCATGAACATGTTTTGTAATAACAGTATTACACTAACATTACGGTGTCGACCTTGCGTAAACAGTAATGATAACAAGGAACTTTCTATGGCCTGTGACATCAAATCATCAAACACCAACACACTGTTAAACTTTGGGTTGATCTCGCTAAGATCTTCACTCATGTCCGGTAAGCCTTGGGTAAAAGCTATCTCATCACCCAGTTTTGATTTCAAGGACTTTGCCACTGATTGTAAAACCAGTAAATACGTCCGTGTTTCTTACTAGGGTATTTGACACAATTGTTCGTTAAGAGTTGCTCCACAAAATACGTTTTACCGAACTGACTCGGTCCCAGCACCAGCATCGAGAACATGTGGTTAAACTTAAAGTCTGAGTAGGGTTTCATCTCCAAACAGTGACTTGCTTGTATCTTGGCTACTTTTCGTGGTTGCTGTGGAGTACTTGGAAGCTGCCGGGGCTGTTGTGGTTGAGAGTTAATACTCAAACGCCGTGACGGTATTCCCAAAAAGGGAAAAGGGGGCATATAAGATAATCCAGTTGATTTTGATGATGAAAATACTGCTGATTTTAACCAGGGTTCTCGTTCATCACTGGATAGGTTATGCACTTGAGATAAGTGATGACTTAATGAGAGTAAATTTGGTTTGCAACAGATAGGACATATTCGTCTGTTACAGTAAGGCATCTTAACTCAACGACGTGTTAACATAAATGATGACTATGCATAGTTGGTTAATAGTAAAAGATGGGTGCCTGTGGGGTGCCTGTAGGGTTCCTAAGGGTGCCTGTAGGATGCCTGTGGGGTGCCTGAGGAGTGCCTGTAGGGTGCCTGAGGATATGTTGTGCGTTGACAGTGATTAGAATTAAACTACAGTGACACACTTTTCAACCAATTTTATTTGCAGACTTTTCCAACCTATTACAACTTTAATTGCAGACTTTTCAACACATTACAAATTTAGTCGCAGACTTTTACTGCAATCAGCTACTCCTCATGTAAAGAAATTTTCATGAGCAGTCCTCTGTTTAAGTTTTGTTTCATCGTTAACTCGTTAGCTAATGCTTCTGTGATTTCATCCATAGTTGTATAAGACCACTCGTCTGGTGAGAATTCACAAGCACACGTCACATTCATACGTTCCCTTGATGAGGCTTCTACTTTAATGAGGGTTGTCTTGGTGTTTTTCTCTCCTCAATGATGTCATTCAATCCATGATAGAGAGGATACACCACTTCAAAATCCCAATTTCGTACCCCTGGTTTTCTCGGAGAGACTTCTTTCAGGTCTACCACATACAAATCTGTTCCGTTAAGTCTAGTATAGGTGACGTTAAACACAGGGGAATCTATCGCCAATTCTAACCATGATAGTTCTTTACTGTCTTCTTCTTTCTGGTTCTCAACGTTCGAGGTCAGGGTATCATTCAGGTCTCTCTGTGCACGTTCCGCCTCTAACTCTCTTAAATCTCGTTGTTCTGCGGGAGTCCAGGCGCTATACCCTCCTCTCCACATGATGGCTTGTGATGAAATGATGATACGATTAGGACTCACCTGTCTTTTATACCTTTTTGGAGACCTCACCCTATGCTATAAATAGAATGAACAAATGTCTACAGCTATTATTTACACGTTCGATCTCATCGAGGTAACATGTACACTATGACTGTCGAAGAACCCCCTGTTAAGTCTGAACCTTCAGAAAAATCTGTCAAGACCAAGTTGAAACAGTATCGACAGAAACTCATGACCATCAAAGCCAGGATACGGTACCGTGAACATGCCATGAAAGGTTCTCAAGAATGGAACCTTTCCGCAAAGAATAAAATCTATTAAACCTTATCCCAAGATGAGTTCACCTGAAACTCAGAACATTGTCAATGCGGCCTTTGATCAAGTCCAATGTGTTATTTTGGACCAAATGATTCAGGAGGAACAAAAGAAACTCACTGAAGATCAAGACAGTTATCAAGCGCTCCTGGTTCAACGGCATGGGAATCGACAGCAGCTCAAGAAACCCAAAAAACCTAACAAATCCACCATGACTCAACTCCAGCAAGAATTAGCTGAATTGCAGTCCAAATATGCCCAACTCTGTACTAAATTAGAAACACCCAGTGAATAAACACACAATGTTGAACTGAATCAATGTCTAGTTTTATTGATCTTACAACCTACGTTACACCCGTAGTGAATTGTGATATACAACACAAACTCCGTTGAGTCAAGCTTTGAAATAAGTGCTTTTGCAATCATATATGATAGCCTTGTTAACCGTATAATAATGCAATGTTTTTAAGAAAGAACCTTGATACAATTGAATGTTTGTAATCTGTAAAAATGGCTTGTCCTTTGGTCGTCCTACATCTATATTCATCAATGTCTTATCAGTAAACGGTCGTGTAAGTGTCAACAATCCAATCTCTCCCATCAGGCGATTTCCCAGAGCCATGACTTTGGAATAAATCTTCCCTGGTTTGACATCGTTAATGTTTACCTTCAGTAGAATGAATTCTTTGTCTGCTGAACCTTTCGTTTGTGGGTTTAGCTGTTCCAATTAGTGAGAAAGAGACGTTGAATTCTGGAAGGCTGTCGTGCTTTTGCTGAAGTCGTGCTTGTAGAAAAGGTAAAAATTCAAGTCTTTGACGATAAGTCTCTATTTGTTTCCAAATTCAACTCACCATCGAAGGAAAAGTCAACCAATTTTCCAGCCATTTCTCTGATGATAAGGCCTTCACGTTTTCAGACTCTTGACAATCACAACTTAAATTTATGTCCAGGTCTAAATCCCCTTGGGAACTTGGACATGTTCAGACAATGTATTGTTCTCTTTCTGTGACGTCAATGGGCTTGTTCGGGTTAAGTATTGTTTTCTGTCTATGACGTCATGCCCTGTTATCATGATGAATCAAGGTGATGACTAATTTAAATTCCATGCATGATGTTTGTGGTTGGGTCATCAACCATTTTTGACTTAGCCAGTCCAATATGGCTAATAAAGTTTTTGTGAGTGACATGGAAAGAAAGTAAACACTGCAATATTTGTTAACACACCTAAACATCTTGTTATTGGTAGTGGTAACGGTTCCACCGCTTGGAGTGAGACACAACATAGCGTTCTCATAGGGTACCCATGGTCTGTAATCAATCGCTGAAGTGACCGTAATAAAGCATCGCTCATTGACATCAATAAACTATCGTTCCATGCAGGGACACGGTGCTGTTAAACAGTCCGATCCAATTGGATTTCCTCTACAGCCTCATTATTTCCCACCACACGGTCTGCTAATTCAGTCAACTCTACAGAAATGACTGGATTGTAAATATTATACCAATGTGAACTAGTGAGACGTTTTTCCTGCCAGTAAGAAAATTGTTCCAAATCATGCATAGACACTGACTGCATCGTGATTGGTTTGAAGACACAACTAAATCGTAAAACTCTTTATATTGAAATGTGCTGAGTCGACAGATTTTCCTTGCTCGTTTCCAGACCCCTCTAGTTACCTCCTTTAGGGTTCAAATGCTAATTAGGGTTAGGGTTTGACACTTAGGGTTAAAATGCTAATGAGGTTAGGGTTAAACCCTAGTCCCTTGGCATTCTTGGTTGGGGTTAAAATGGTTATTAGGGTTAGGGTTAGCTTTCACAACTTGGGGTTAAAATGCTAATTGGGGTTAGGGTTAGACACTTAGGGTTAGCATTCAAAACTTAGGGTAAAAATGCTAATGAGGGTTAGGGTTAGGGGTAGGGTTAGCTTTCATGACTTAGGGTTAAAATGCTAGGGTTAGGGTTAAAATGCTAAATAGGGTTGGGGTTAGACACTTAGGGTTAATATTCACAACTTAGGGTTAAAATGCTACTTAGGGTTTGGGTTAGGGTTTGGTTGAGGTTTACGTTTCCAGGTTAAGGGTTAGGGGTTGTTAGTTTTGAAACGCTTTTTTCATTGTCTGATAATATTTTTTAGTTGCTTTAAGGTAGTTGTTTATTTTTAGCTTATAGAGCGTGATTATATCAATCTTTCTAGAAACATTTTGTAGGTTTTCACGCTTATGTCATGGTGCGGTACTTTCCGCTAGGAAACGCGTAATAGTGGGGCGGATATGTGCAGATTTGGGGCCGGATTGTTCACTTTTTGTTAAAAGCACCAAATTTTCAGGAATGACAGAACTAATTATGACTATTAATATGTGATATGGTGCCATCGCAAATTTTTCCTGTCAAACTGGTTTTTGGAGTGAAAATTAAACTGGCCGCCATTTTGACCGGAAGTAAATATCACCTAACCGAAAGTACACAAAATTAAGCATTTTTTAAGCCAAAATAACGATGAAATTGTTTATTATATAAACTAATCGTGGCTATTAATATGTGATGTGGTGCCATTGCAAATTTTTCCTGTTAAACCGGCTTTTGGAGTTATTACTAAAATGGCCGCCATTTTGACCGGAAGTAAATATCACCTAACCGAAAGTACACGAAATTTAGCATGTTAAGGTCAAAATGACGACAAAATTGCTTGTTCTATGTTTTTCCGGAAATTTATGTCATATAAAAAAGTCAACCGTGTTACAAATTAGCGGTTTAAATGAAAGAACCGGAGGTAAAAGCGGGCCAAAATGGAAAATGCAACTCATTCAAAGCAATTCATTTCAGTAGTGAATTTAAAACAAACGTGAAACAATGATTCACATTTTTAAGCATAGGAAAGGCCAAACATACGAACAAATTAAACAAGCAAAAAACAAATTATTCCTTTTTACTTGGTTTAACCCTTTAAGTCCCAATGGTGACCAACATCAATTTTCTCCTGACTCACAATATCCCCTTATACAAGGTTAAGAGATTAGGTTCTTAGAATTAATAAAATTATCACCTAAGAGAAAATGCTTTGATCTTTTATCAAATTCTCTCAACTTATCCTTTTAAGGAAATATATAGAGACCAGTTTGAAGAACTTGTAAGGGTTAAAAGAGTTGATCCACTATTAACTAGAATGCAGAATGCTTTGCGGTTTTCAAAGTAATTTGAGGTATAATAGCTCCACCATTTTGTGTTATTGAGGAGTATAAATAACACTCTGTGCATGTACATATTGGATTGAAATTGCTTTCACGATAACGTCTGCTCATTTCAAAGTTTACCATTTTCAAAAAGTTTCCGGGAAATCCGTTTGGAAGGTAAATGGGTCCCCTACTCAGCCTACTCTTTACAAACAGTGTCTGGGTTCTTTAACTTCCCACAGCATATTATATGAACAAGGACCGTGAGAAGGGGCCTACAGGTGTTTTTTATTCCAGTAAGACTAGAAAGTCTAACCGTTTGCAGATGACATTAAAAAGGCAGCTCTTCTCGTCAGTTATTTAAAGACCCTGATCGACAATTGGTCTGGCCGGGGTGTGAAACCGCGGCTTCCCGCTCAGTAGACCGGTGTTTCATCCACCTGGAGCTAACCGGGCGGCGGTTTAATTCAGCTGTATTTCACTATCAAGTGAATCTGCGCCTCTCTCGACAGAAGTGAGTGTTAAGTCTCTAATCTTCAATGTAACCACCCCCAGAATGCCATTTAATCATCATGGACTGAGCAGCACTGACTATCATGCTAAAGTCCACATGCAAGAAAATAAGGAAAAAGCGTTTTCCGAATCTGCATCACTTACGTTAATGCCCTGAGCATGTAAAACGTATTCTCTTGGATATAGTATGTGAAAAATATGTCGCGCCGAGAACAGCTTGAAGACTAAGATCTGGGGTAAACGTGTATCAGGAGCTATACTAAGAAACTGGAAAAAGCTAGTTCTTTTGTAAAGATCGAAACAAGCAGGTGCTTTTTAGATTCCTTGCACCTTGAGCAACGCATGTCGTCTAGGGCCAGACGTCCAGTCTTTTCCCTGCATCGTTTGAAGTCAATTCGCTAGAAAGCATTTATTGTTATGCTATATCACAAAGCAGATTCCCTTCTTTTAACTCTCTATATGTTGTTTGTGTCCGAGACATTTTCGTTGAGTCCACTCTCCGTGCTAACTACCCATGAAGCTTCTCTACCATGAAGTCAAGTTAGCTTCCTTATCATATATCTTGGTACTAATGGACATCTACGCTACCTTGCAGCCTACGAGATTGCTAACGTGTTTACTAAAAAAGTTGCACTTTCACTTCCTCCGTTCCATGCATTCACAGGATGTGTCAAGGTTAATACTTCTGGTCACCTCCAGAAATAATCGGAGTTGTTTTCGCTTACACGTTCTTCTATACGATAGAAAAAGTAGTTCTTTACCGTCAACTGACGAAGCCAAAAGTAGTTTCTTTGACCCGGCCTGCATTATTTAAACATTTCAAGGGCACGGCGAACCATGCTGGCCACATATGGAGTCAGCAGGCACTGGTACCAAGCATCTCGGTTCCTAGTCTGCAAGATTGGGGCTGGATATCTCTGAGAGGAGAGTGGCGACTCTCCTGTTGAGGGTGGAACTAGTAAAGTACGCTCGTAAGAAGGGCTATGCCCAGAAGAGTGACAATCGTGAAAGGCGATCCCCAAATCTTTTTTCGATTACAAGCACTCGCCTGGATGAAGTATCAAGTCATTAGGTCACTGAGATATCATTTGTTCTTCTTCGATATTCTGTATCATAGCCAAAGTAGGCTCAAGTTTAGTAATGGATTATACGTGATGAAAAGAAAACTAGCAGGCACAACAGAATTTTAAGCTCATTCCTTAAAAGTTCCGACTTAGACTACGAGCAGTCTCTCTTTTTTCTGTAGTCCGTCGAGCAAAACGCGAGACACGCAAATGGCCATAAACCTGAAGAAAAAGAGAGACTGCTTGCAGTCTAGTTCCGACTCTGGTAGTTTTATTTCCGGTCTAGCTGGCGGCCACTTATATCATCTCTATTCTACTTTTTAGACAATTTGCGTTGAAATAATATCTCTTTGCATGAAAAAACAGCTGCCTTAGGCATTTGCTGACATTTTCTTATCCATGTTGCTAAAATTCAGACGTTTTAAAGAAAATGTTAATTTCACTTCCGGTTCAAAATGGCCGCCATAATAAAAAGTCTTATTTTTCGCACTTAACGGACTCTTTGGAGATGGCACCATATCCTATCTTTTTTAGGGCTTTGAAAACTATCATCATGCCAAATTTCATGCTTTTAACAGAAAGTGAACAATTGAAGCACATATCTGCTCTACTATAAAGCGTACGTACAATTTTACTTAGTTAACGCCCTAGGCATAATACACGTATACTTTATTATAAAATAGGCAACGCAATACTAGAAACTATAAGTTATCCCGCTATCATTGGAGTTGTCATCACAAGATATTCTGCTGCTGCTAGACTGCTAGTTTTTGCTACCTTTGATGCGAGGCGTCGACCAAAGTAAGTCTTTTATTTTCTTATAGTTATTTAGTACTGTAATTCATGGACCTATCAAGTCTTTACGCTATCCTATGAGGAGGACATTGATTTGAAGACGAGTCTGCTGGAATCAAACAGGATTGATTATTGTTACTATTACCAAAGTATTTTATATAATCTAGTTTAGTGTTTTTAAGGTAAGTTCTGTTCAAGCGGAATCGCTACGATAGTTTTCTGATTGTTGTATTCATGCTGAGAGTTAAATGTTATTGTCTCGGTTAATTAGCTCAAGTATCAATTATCAGATTTTTCAGTTATCTGTTTCTTGCGTCATAGTCTTATGTCGTTTAGATTATCCTACCTTATAGTCTTAATTTCATAGTTAATCTAAGTAGTTCGTATTCTTTAATTATCGCTTTCAGTTCGAACCTACGTCTAGCTACGTCTACGTCTACGTTTCGCTACGTCGACTACGTCTGCTTTGTCTACTGCGTGTATTACTGCGATCTGTTACGTCGTAACTAGGCTACGAACATTGCTATTACATTGAATTGTTGTACACGCGACTGCTATTGTTATGAACTGTAAGGATCTGACATTAAATCAGATTTAATATTCTATCACGTGGAGTTCGAATCATCTATCGCCTCGCACCGTGCTACCCCTGTTTTTGTTGAGATTTGGATTATTCGCGACCTCCAGAATTTCAGCAATTACAGGGGTTTGGTAATTTCTAGTTTTGGGGTTAGGGTTTGGTATTTTTCACGCCATGAAAAACACATATTGTTCCAATCCACTCTTTATTGAACAAAACATCTTATCTCAGTTAACAAATCAAAAATGTGTTTTAGTTGCTACCTAATCGCACATATCCGTAGTTCTACTACACGCTTATCACAGTTAACACCAAACACTTTGACTAAATCTTGTAACCTCACTCTTTTATGAGTGTTTTCTCTTACAAAATGATTTTTAATGTCAATGTCCATCACTCTTCTGCATTGCAAGGGGTTCGTCACCTCTCGTTGGATGTGATGCATTATTGAACCACTGTTCAACACCTGATTAATTTCGTAGGAACTCTTGGTGCCTTTGTTCTTGCATCCTTTTTTATCCCCTTGTGTTCTATAGCAATAAGATTTCGGTCCTGCTGATCCAAACTCCACAATAGGATCTCTTTCCAGTTCGTCTGTCATTTGTCCCAGGAAGATGCCGTTGGGGATATAGGGCTGGCCTTCTCTCAACCGATAAATCACAGTCTCTATCATAGTAAAGAACTTGTTGCCCCAGCTTTTGCAATTCTTCATACAGTTTGAGACATGCCAAAGCGGTTGTAAAACTGGCAATGAAAATATTAGTTTTCCCCACTCCTTCACACGCATCCTCCTTTTTCATCACACTCACCTCCAAGACATCTTTGTTGAAGATACAAGTGTCTTTGACAACCACTGTTTCATCCTGAACAATTCGTTGCCAAGGGTCTTCGTTTTGGATGGCTATTGTTTCAGGTCTATGCTCCTTCTGGCCAAATTTTCCCCAAACGCTGAAAGTATACAAAAGTAAACAAACCATTAGTTTTCGCCCGTTTCCGTGAACGTCCGCACATTATAATTTTTCAGACTTTGACTGCAAATTAACTTTCTTAAATGCACACTTTTCCACCATTTTCCCATACAATTCCTTCTTATTTTGAGTTCACATTTGCAACTCGCGTTGACCAATACTAGAAAAGTTCGACTTGGCTTAATTGCAGACTTTTACCGCAAGTTCATTTCTTAGTTGCAGTAAAACACTGCAAGTTAACTTTCTTACATGCAGACTTTGACTGCAAATAACACTCACCTGTTGAGCATCAATTTTCCCACTTGTTTCCGTCCCGGGTTTTTCTGAATGTTCTCCAGTTTGATTCCTTCTTTACCCTGAAAATCTTCGACTTTCTGATCTTTCTGTTCTTACGTGTCACAATGTTTTGGCCACCCACTCGCTTCGCTTTTGTATTTGAGCCATGAATTCACATAGGGGGCAAGTAAGCCCTCTTTCCTTTGGTCTTTGGTGAAATGCCAGACTTTATGGATTTTCATTATCTTGTAACCTCCACCGCCTTGTACTCAATACACCATGTACCGTGAATTGTTCGTTCTGCATCACTATATATGTGGACAGAGGTTCGTTCGTTGATACCATGTACGATCTAATTGTTCTTCCGCACATTTTCCGCACAATGGAAACATCAGTTTGCCATTCATTTTGACTGGAAGGACTGGATGAAACACCTTTTCCGCGGCTAAGAGACTTACTTTAGCTAAACCAAAGTAATCATCGATGTTTTCACTCTCTGGATTAACCAAGATTTGTGGATGACCTGTCGGATACGTGCTATATTTGGTGATGGTTGGATACAAACTTGTGAAATCTTGATAATCGCTTCTCCTGATTCCACTGCATGGTAGCATTTGGCCATTCCAGTTCGTCCGCCGTAGAAAGCCTCTCTTGGATCCAATGGTGATACCCATGACATGTTCTTCACTAAATCTTTTAGTTCTTCGTTCTGTTTCAATTCTTTCTTAAACGCACACTCCCACATCTCAATCACAGTGTAACCAGCCGCTCGTAGCAGTTCTGTTTTGCCTTTTGTTGTTTGAAACATCTCTTCAACTGTACGATTTGAATGATGAAATGTCTTCACATGTCTGTTGTTGGGTTTACACTTCCTACATCCATGAAATTCACACCCGTGAAACTCATAGACTGTTTTTGTGCTTGGGTCATAGCCATCCACTTTGACTTTACCTCGTTTTACTGGAATCACTTGTTCACCACCACTTGTTCACCACCACTTGTTCACGGGCGTGCTTGATTCTGTTTCCACCTAACTGTTTGTCTTGGTAATACAACCACTGAAACGCCACTTTGCTTTGGGATGTCTTTAATCCACCCCAGCCGTGAGGAGGCTCTACCACAATAGTGCTGGGTTCCGTCTGAAAATTACGCCAGAAATAATGACATGTGAAGGCAAAGCTGATACATTGTAAAAGTGGATTAAACCCAGCATCCCGTTTGGTATCCTCTACAAACTTTAGACAGCCCTCTTTGAGGAGTTTGACGTCACTCTCGCCGTAACTCAACAGCTCCTTCTTAAAGTTCCAAACTTCTCCTTTGAGAACTTCTTTAGCATGCCAGTCTTCATAGTCTTTTTTCTTTTTTTGCATCCAGATGCTGTGGTTCATAGTAGTGGAGGGCTGGATTTGTTCGTTCGTAATTTAAATTCTGCAACTTCGAAAACTTGTGGGGGAACCAACCTTTTTTTCAATTCTTCCAGTCCAAACGTGTTGGTGAAATTGGTCAGCGGCATGTTGAGAAAAGACAGGAAATCTTTAAACACCAGGCTCTTGTACTTGAAATGTAAGGTTTTGGTCCCTGTCCCCATGATATCGGTCACTTTCAAGTTCATATTGTATAGGGCATCCAAGATAAAAATACCATCAAACCCTCTCAGGTTAAGAAAGAATATGTGTAGTTCTTCCTCGTTGTCTTGATTGCTCCAACCAATCATCGTTTTAATGAAGGCGTGTACACAGTTGTTACCCCAATGATGAAAACTAGTGTCATCATGCATCCTCCCGTGCAAAACAGATCGAAATAGGAACAAACATGTTGGTACTGTCCAGTATACATTCGACATCTGCAAAGACCATTACTTGTTCGGGGGCTGATACACCCTGAGCTTGTTTCTCTTGGGTTGCATTCACTCGTTCCTCCACCATGTCCAGTGTTATCTCATCTAGTTCTATTCCTTCTTGTACCAATTGCAGCATCACCCTTTCACGTAAATCATTCAATGCCTCTTCGTTTCTACCTCTCTTGATTTCTTCCATGGGGATTCCCTTGTTAATATCTTTCAGTTCTTGAACTTTCTTTTTACGTCGCAGAACCATGTCCTCAATAATGACTTGCAAACAATCATCCTTCAGCCTATCTCCTCCAACAACCATGGCAGCAAGCTTTTCCTTGGTCTTTTTCTCTTGTCTTAATTGCCCTAAGTTCCATTTAAAACACTTTTCCGCCTCCGAGGTGATAAAGCATCGATGTTCATAAATGTTTACATACTCAAGACAATGTTTACACATCGCATGAAGGCACTTGTGTTCCAATTCTTCGTTTACTTTATAGGACACCAGGCAATCCTTACATTTACGAAACTGGTCGCAAACACTTTTCATTTCAGCTATTGGGGGAAGGTCCCCACCATACTCTTCTTCCCATTTCTTTTTCGCTCTTTTTAAGGATGGATCTTCTATCTGTTGTTTCATGAGATGGTTGACCAAGCAGTCTTCGCCACAAAATTCACGTCTGCACATGATACAACTTCGATCTGGTTTCGCCCATAATTTAAAATCTTGGCGCCCATCCTCATCCTTGGATTTACTTCTTTTGCGGGCAGGGCAGTTCTGAGCTTGACAGTTATGGTGGGCACTGTCTTCTGTGTTGTACCCCTTACAACAACGATGGCAAAAGTAGCTGCGGTTCATAAATCCTGGGATCGAATACAGACCATCGTAGTGCGCTTTCAAGTCTCCGTTCTAATCCTCGTGCACTGATTTCACTAGAGCAATCAATTTGTCTGCTTCCAGATATGTATCCCCTTTAGAAATTGCACCGCCTTTAGAGGCATCCACGACGATAATTCTAAATCCTTGAGGACCCAGGATCTCTTGGAATTTTTGTATTTCCTCCAAACCACAAGGACCTTTAGGGACACCTGCTTCTGCATGGAGCTTCTTGGCTTCTCTGACTTTCTGGGAATTTTTCCCACGAGCTTGTCTAATGTCCTCAAAGGTATTTACCTACCTGTCATTCGGCATATTCTCTCATTACCACAATGGCCTTGCACAATAGAGCTTGCCTTTGTTCTTTATTTCGCACACACATCGTGACTCTTTGGCTATGTGTTCCTAAATTTTTTGGCCTGGGCCGCCTCCTGCCCGTTTGCCTCCTTTCATCTCAGGGCGAGTGAAAAGAATCGATGCAGAAAATGCCACGTCGTTGGTAATAAACTGTTCACTGTTTAACACATTAGTTAGGTTCTCCAACAATGCTTGTGTATAGAGAGCTCTTTCTGTTAAGTCACCGACTGGTACTTTCCAAGTCTCTCCCGTCAATCCTTCTTTTCTGTGCCCTCTGCTGCCAATTTGAAGTGTCATCAGATACTCATCAGGGACTTGAAGATCCTCAATGAGATTGTCCATGGCAACGGCCAAGGCATATGTGGCGCTAATGTTTAAATCTTCGCATTCTCTTGGTCCACGTTTTTGGTCTAATGTTATGATGAACTTTTGATTAACCAATGTATTTTTCTTCCAACGTTTTGCCGGCCCCAACTTTTTAAAATCAGCTACATAGAGTGGATCTGGGCCTCCACCGTATTCGTCAGTAGGCTCTGTTACTGGATCAACTACCTCTGGTTTAGCCATTTTGACATCTTGCTTCGATTCTCCTTCAGCAGCCTCAGGTTTCGTACCACAGGTAGTCACAGCACCGTCTTTCTGGTTTTCAAGACTCCAACGTGGTACCTTTTCAGAATTCAACAGCTCCATACGTAACAGTTTCGCGCTTTCTTCAGCTTTTCTTTTTCCCTACTTTAGAATGAGCATTCTTGAAATCTTTCTTCAAATCATCTTTTCTGGAATATGTCTTAGGACAGTGTGGACATTGTGCTCGATGTTCTGAAGTCCCCCAATGCTTCTTATGACGAAAGAAATTTCCCCTGTTCTTGATTTTCTTCCCGCATTTAGGGCAAGCTCGTGGATACGTTACTTTCGACATGATCGATGTTTACACAATGACACAATGATCTCAAATGAATTTTCATGGTTAATATCCGGCTTTTATACCTGTTCTATTCAAAAGAATGACGTCATAGTTTAAAAATAGAAACAAATTCTGTTGAGTCAGCAAATCTATGGGTGACGTCACTAGGCTTGCCCTAACATGCCCACCTTCATTAGGATGACCATTCAACTGTGACTCCTTCAGGTGAGATTAACTGGTAATTGCGCGACTGAAACAAACTGTAATATGGAACTACTGTAGTGACAAAGGGTCAAAGTACAGTGAACATTGCTCAAAAAGAACTCCAGTTAGCGCTGCAATGGATCCCCAGTGCACGCTCGCCTCGTTCGAAATCGACTCGCACGTTAAGGGATATCATGCCTACCAAAATGAATGGGTTCGTGTGGTCAACGAGAAACTAAGGGCCCGAACAGAGCCAGAAAACGTTGTGGACAAGTATGCAGTGTGCGTGTTGTCAGGTGAAGACGTTGTTGGACATTTAAAGAAAGGAAAAAGTGGACGTTTTGCCAAAACGGTATTTTGCTTTTTGAGGGGTGATAAAGACGGTTCATGCAGCGTCATCGTGAGGGGCAAACCTGTCAACCTTGGAGATGGAAAAGATATGCCAGTGCCGTGCACTCTACATTTCACGGGGCAGAAAACATTGAGGTCCCGCGGAAACAGCTTTCAAGCCTAGATGAGTGTTAGATGTTGATTCTCACGTTATCACGCTGATTTGTAAAAAAATGCGAAATGCTTAGAGATGAATCATCAAGCAGATCTCAAAGGACGTTTGTAATCACCAAAGAAAATTCAGAATATCACTTTACAATGTCGAATGATCAGAATAGAGACAGCAGAGGTCATACCTGAGTATTTCAGCCGGAAGAACAGTTCACTAACAGTGCGTTTTGTTTTGTAATTGAATAACACAGCTAGAATTTCTTAGCGGGACACTGCACGTGAGTCAAGCATTGTTAGGTCATTAATTACGCAACACGAGCTCAAATAAAATGCAATACGTTTCCAGCTGCGTTCTTATGTACGTGCTCCGTTATTGACAAGTTCGAAATAATGGGGTTGATTTAAGGTGTATGGAAAGAACGATGAGTTCGTAATAATGGGGAATTCGAAATAACCGAGTTCGAAATAACTGATAGTAAATGACTGAAAACATAAGGGTAAATCCAAGGGAATTCGATCTTCCTTCGAAATAGCGGGGACTTCGAATTAACCGAGTTCGAAATAGCGGGGTTCGACTGTATTGATTAATCTTGTAAGTACAGAAAAACGTAGGGCATCACATCGGCTGACCAAAGTTGAAGGCACAGGGTCAAGAGCACAAGATTTTAGAGACAAATGCTGCATAAGAGACTTCACATCTTGTTCCGTTAACATCTTAAATTCAGTGAGGTGGACGAAAGGCGACTCAATGCCCTGTATGTCAGGTTTATGATAGTTTACAGCACCATGACAATTGAGGCGACTCCTAATATGCACTATTTTCTGTACAAAAACTTCCCGATGTCCTCGGCGAAATGAGCCCTATCAATAGTGGGAGGTAGACAGTCGGCAGATCCTCTGTTTAGTAAGCAATTACTAGCGGCAAACAGCTTCTTTTGATCCTCGCTGTTCTCCACGTGATGCACGTGCAAAGTTGTTGTTTTGCCTTGTCAAGCTATTGCTTTTTTCACTTTCTTGTCGCCGCTGCATCTTAAAACTTCCTATTATTTACGATACATTGTGGTCCATCAGAAACAGAATTTTCTCAGTTCAAAGTGAATTGCTCCTACTGATAGCATCCGAAACGTTTTTCGACTCATCGGTAGTTTCTTCGTTTCTGGTTAGGAAAGCTTGGTGAACAAACCGGGCAACTCTGGCGAGATAATAGCCGTCGTGTACGAACTCACGAAAAGAACTCAGGAGAAACAGTTTGCCGATTGGGCACAATAATACAAAGCATTTTATGTGCCCAATCAGGAGCCAGCATTCGCTTGACCGTTTGGAAATGGTCTGGTGAGAGTCGGTACCAAGGGGCCTTTCCCCCTGTGCTTGAAAATGTTCGTCGCGCCTTTTCTCCCGGCCCCACTGACCGCCCCTGGGTCTCCGAGGACGGAATGTAAGTAAAGTTCGAAATTAAAGTTTTGAATAATTAAAGACTAAATTTGGACATTTAAAATGATGTTTTTCCACATATTTTTTCTTGAAGTGCCGTTAACGGTCATTCCAAACGTGAAGTTTAGAAATAATTATTCAACATAAATAAAAAAAAGTGTTATTGCTCGATTTCTTTTCTTCAACCGGCCACCAATTGGTCAATAATTTATAATGGTCACGTGACATATCACGTGAATGATCAACATAAAATTAAAACTTTAAAATGTTAATGGCGATGAGTTGTTTACGTGTGCTAAATTTTGATTCAGCGCCATCATAGTTATAGCCAATAAACCATTTTCCACAGACAAACTACTTAACTATTTGAGCTGTGAAATGACTGAAAGTCGCGAATATTTGTTAAAAGAAAGGCTTTCAAAATCCTTGGGTTAGAAAGTAGCGTCCCATCATGCAAAGCAGCAAACTTCCGATTTTTGTTCACGACGTTTAGGGAGTCAGCGTTCTTGTTGCTGAAGCTCGCCATTATCGCATCTGGTACTGCTGGGGGTTTTAACGTTGGCAGCAAGTTATCAATGGTAACGTCCACGGAAAACACAAATAATGTATGCATTCTTGAGCTCTAAAGTATGTTACAACAAAATACCTTTCTTCTTTCGGAACATTCTCTATGTTTTTCACAACAAAATAATTATAAGAAAAAATTCGAAAACCACAGTAAGTTAATAGCTATAGGATCTTACCAACTGTAAATATCTCGTATAGCAGGACTCCATAGCTCCACCTATGAGACCAAAAAGTGACATATATCTCCGGTTACATTTTAAATAAATAATAAAAAAAAGTTCTGCGAAATATCAACTTGTTAATGCATATATAGAAAGTTTTCTTACACGTCGCTCTTGGTGGTGTATCGTCCGTAGAGCAGGGATTCATATGCAGTCCACTTCACTGGTAGACGACCCTACATATCAACAAAGTAAATGGCCATAAGACAAATACTAAATGAACGTCGAACATGGAATAGCGAGTTGGCGAAAAGTAGGAAAAATAATGAAAAGGTAATGTACTTCCTTGCTTCCCTGTATCTTAGCAAGAAAGAAAGTCGGTAGAAAATATACTCCGAAATATAAAATCAGAAAGCCATCTTTAAAATTTCTAAAATAATCGTTACTGCAAAAATGAAACTCAGGCTTCGTTTGCACGCAACTCCCTTTTTTACTCTTTCTTCCTGTCTTAGTGTCGAAGGACAAAACCGAAGAACGTTTAACTGCAACTTAGCCGTTCTCTAAGACTTTTATCACGTATAAAGTTAGTAATCTTCTATATTCAGGTCAAAATGCTTGGTAAAGGACGTCTTTATATTACCACACTCAGACAACCATAAACACCTGAAATATGAAATATTAATAATCCCATGTTTTGGTGAAAGGCAAAATAGTCTCTTTTGCTCTTTGGGCTTGTCAAATGTTTTATCAATTTTACACACACTACCTGAACTTCGTGGGCTATAGTTTTGGAAGCAACTCTTAAAGCATGAAACCTAGTAAGCAACGACATAATCAACAAAACCTTACGCATTTTCCTCCAGGTAACGGCAAAGGATTGCGTGCCAGTCCTATACTGTAGGTCAGTTTTCAATAAAATACAAACCTTTGTCTTCCTTTCATAAATATTTTGTTCTTGTACATCTCTTGCCATTCCAAAGTCAGTCACTTTACAAGTTTCATTTTCTCCAACCAGAACATTTCGAGCGGCAAGGTCTCGATGAATAATCTGCAATGTGAGATTTCATTTCACACAAGCTTAAAACCTTGCAAGTCACATGGACCTGTTAAGACGTTCAGATCTTTCTGTCTTACTTTGATACTGTTACATTTCATTAAATTTTGAAGTCATCTTCTAAGATTTGACACCAAATGGATATGATATTTTTGTCCAAATAAGAGCTCTGTCAGTTTCACGTCTTTACGTCTTAATCCAAATCAGTCCAGCCGGAAATAAATTTATGAAATCGCCATTGTAGAAAGGGTTTCACGTCTGAAGGTCTTAACTCACATCAATCCACCCGGAAATACATTTTATGAAATCGCCATTGTGTAGAAGGTCTATCAAAACGCAAAAGCAAAGTGTAGCTGAAAGTGAGGGGACCTGAGTGTGTTCTTAACTGTATAATTTTTCTTTGCAAAATGGAGACAGTCTACATCAGACTAGATGAATACACGATAGTCAAATATTTTAGCTTACAGATCTCGATGAGAGATAACTCATTCCATCAGCAACTTGCCAAGAAAACTTCATCAACTGTTGTGACGTCAGACTTGTTTGTGGTTTGATATCTGGGTCTTTGAAGTAAGTGTCATTTAATCCACGGCTCTTTCTCAGGTAACCCAGGAGATCCCCGTACGGAACGTACTCGATTAAGACTAGCAACGGCTCTGAGTAAAAAAAAATTATTCACTAAGTCACTCATGGACAAAGAGACTTGACTCAGACTGAAAAAGGCACAATTAAAATGACTGGACTGACCCTTTACTTGCAGCATAGTAATTGGTGACTAAAGACAGTTTACTTTAAAAATAACCTACCAGATTGGGTGACGCATCCCAGTAGCTTGATGACGTGCGGATGAGGCTTTAACGTCTTCATCACTTCAAGCTCTGATAACAAATCCTTCCTGTCGGAGTCCGGCGCATCAGCTGAAAAGTAAAGTAACGAGCGTTTTCATTGTTAATCGTTTGTGTTACATTCCTTTAATTTTCAGTTATCCAATTCTTACATTATTAGTTATACAGTGATCAATCAAGTTATCTTGTACCTTTTAACATTTTGACAGCCACCTGTGTGACATGTTGTCTTTCACGTAGGCCTTTAACCTTACCCCTGGCAACCTGACCAAAAGTACCTTTGCCAATTATCTTCTCAATAATCACGTTCTGGCGAAGAATCTCGTGAGAAATTGATGATGGGTTTAAAGGTTCATACTGGCTTAATGATGAAGCGTCGATTGACGGAATGACTTGTGGTGAGCCAGATGATTGGCTAGCCTTACTCAGTGGCATATAATGTCCAGACGAAACCTCTGAAGTCATTTGTCTCATGGATATTTGTTCTGGTTCACGATTATCCACTTGCACTGCAGCCTTAGATAAACGAGAAAACACCACTTAAACTTGACTGTTTACTTTTTTATCCATGTCCACTTTTTGTGAGAATTGCAACATTCTTTTGGTTTTACTAACGTAAAAATAAAACAGGACTAAAATGAAAAAGGACAAAAAAATTAAGCAAAGAAACAACTGTAAAAAAATAACCAGAACAGAACCGACAAACCTCGTAATCTTTTCAACTGTAATTATTGTACAGAGATATTGCACTGATAAGCTCACGTTAATCATTTACCTCACGATTGTGGTCACTTATTTATTGATTGCGACGTTTTTAACGCGTTTATCAGGTACCTTCATTTAACAACACTTTGAAGTCATCCGTGAAACACTGTACAGAGACACGCCACATCGTGGAATCCATAGTACTTACTATGCAGATGCGCTTAACAGGCTGCTTGGCACCAAAGAGGCGTGCGAGTTGTTCGGGGGAGAGGGTGGGTAGACGAGAGAAACCATGGCTTCTTTTAGTGATCAGCACAAACCGTGCAAATGCATCCATAACTTAATAGCGGAGCCTCCGTGCGCACGAAGCGCGCGCAGCGGAGCACCATGGGTAATAAAATTTGGCAAACTATCCATCCGAAAAAATTTGGTTATGACGTCACCGTACGTCCGTCCGTAGATCCGTACAGACTTTCTGGGTAGGGGTAAGTAGAAACGAATTCCTCTCCTCTCCCCTAGAGAATTTTGTCCCCTATTGTTTCAAAAGCCTTTAGAAATGATTGACAAATCAGAATCTGTCAACTGACCAAATGTTTGGTGGATTTTAGGGGCCGACCATTTGACTTTTGAGGGAGTTATCGGTGATTTCAGGAAAAATGTCTTGTCAGTTTTGTATTTCAAGATTGAAAATACGCCGATAAAAGACACAAATGGAAAGAGAAATTTCAAAAGAATGCTCAGTTTCCTTTTTGTGGACAAACGAAAGCTTTTCGCTATGAAATTGTCTTTCGAGGAATTCAACCTTGTTTTCTACACGGTAGATCGGAGCGCTTGGCTTGTTTTCAACCAACCAAGACAGCGAAGTTTCAGAAGACACTTGAGGTACATTCCGTACTCTATGATCAAAGAAAAGTACGTTTTACAAAGGAATTTTTGTATTTAAAAAGGTTTCACGGACGTTCTCTACATTTTGACATCGGCGTGAAAGAAAAACCACAAAATGTGCATTTGAAATTGATGTTTTTACCATGCGCTTGACCGATTTAACTTGCGTGAACGCAACGATTTAACTTGTCTTACGCGAATTGCTTTTTAGGATTAACATATGGGTTTTTGAATCAAATTTTCAAGAAATTAAGTTATTTATCTGTCATTGTTCATTCATAACATTAGCTCAAAAAACGACCATGAGACTACAGATCGTGAGATTTTTAGAAACATTCAGACGAGCCCTTTCTTGAATTAAAACTGAACTGTTGTTTTTGTACATGTTCCGCATTGAATTGCTATTCATTTTCTCATTACTTGCCATTCTAGAATTTTGCAGTGTGCAGTGTGCTGCTATTTTTCCATAACTTATGCCCTGAATACCGCTTGAATTTTGCGTTTGCGTTTGTTTTCAGTTGTTTGTTTACGGCTTTTTATTCTCACTGAAAAAGTGAGCTTATCTAAAAAATGAAAGAGTTCTCCTCTATTCTAAAACGGCAAGACTCGCCGGACTCGCCGGCTTTTTGAGCCCGAGTTTGTCCTTTTTTTTTAAGTTTCAAGTTGCTGTATTAACGTTTATATTTGTAGTGAAAGATTGGATTATTGTCATTAGTAGCGAAAAAGGTTATCGTTTCCTTCCCTATGTCTGTCCTCAGGGAAAATATTATACATCTTACGGTAAAATTTTTCTTTCAGATATTGTGAGGTATAAATGTAAAGGCTACACATAACTGTTCGTCCGGGCCCGTTAAAAAAAGAAAGAAAAGAAAAGAAAATGTAATGAGCTTACGGGAAGACAAAAGTCTTTAAGTCGGCCTGATTTTTCTTTTAGGTCTTCCCTTAAACACAGAAAAACCGATCCTAGAAATCGTTACCTGTAAATTACTGCTACTTAAGAGACCTACAATTGAACAATTTTTTCCATTCAGGTTTGTATGCGGGATATTTTCTCTTAATCATTTAGCCCCTCCCTCTAAAGGTGTCTGATGCCGAAGGCTCTTAGGGATGTGAATATTTCTCTTTTTTTGGCTTAGAGTTCATGTTATTACTTTAATTTGATTGCTTTTATCAAAGTATAGAAACGGAGGCTTCGCTTTTAGCCCTGGCTAAATCTATATATTAGTAGACCAAGAAGAAACAAATGTGCCTTGCTAAGCAAATAAGCAGATCCTTGTACAATTAGACACATGGTTTAATCCAACACTTATTAGACTACGAGTAGTCCCCCATTTTTCCTCAGGGATAGTAGAGCGAGCGAAACGCGAGCGCGCGTGAAAATCACCCCACGCGAGAAAAGGTGACACGCGGCGGGGAGAGAGAAAAATGAGGGACTACAGACAAAGCCCAAGCTTTTGAACTAATGCGTTGCTCTCACAACGCAAAACTCTGATTGGCTCTTCAATGGAAGTCTGTCAACATCTGTCAAAAACGCGCCAGCCGCTATCAACACTCGACATAATCTTAATTTACAGAACAAATAACTAGAGCAGAGCTAATAACAGCAAAGAACAAATAACTAGTCAGAGTTGCGCTTGTAGAAGCAACTAAGAAGAAAGCCAACCCGACAACTGATAAGGTTCGCGTGGAGAACCGAAACCATGGTCTTGTCTGATCACAAAGTGGGAATTGAATAACAGAACAGTGGCAAGACTGTTAAGCTTACAGTTAACAGTCATGACTCAGTCACATCGCAGTTCTCCATAGTTGATGTAGTTTTAGTTTAAGCTGCAATCCATTCTTCGAGATTTGGATATCGCTATCCGACCTGCTAGAACGCTAACGAGCTGGGCCCAGCGTGACAAAACATTGCAGGAAACCGTCACATTCACGGCCAAAAAGAAAATTGCTTAAAATTATTCAGATCCAGGAGGCAATCGCCGGAGAAATTAAACAACCCCAAACCCTTATTTAGCCGCATTGAAGAGCTTTACTTTTCAAAAGAGGTCAAAGAAAATGCTCTTACATTAGACGGCAAATCATGCCGACTATAAACAATAACCGCAGAAAATTAATATGCGTGTCACGACCCCTCAGTGTGAAATAAGCGGCAAAAATCACATTTGCTCAGTCAAAACGTTTTTCTCCAGAGCATAATCTATCCGTCAGAGAAAAAAAATTCATTGGAACAAGCAACATTTTGGCATGAGTAAAAGTCGTGTGTTGCCTACACTATCAAGTTCTTCACGCGAAACAACCGTGAAGAAAATTAGTATCTCGGTTTTCTTTTGCTTGCAATAAGTATCCCCCGCAGTTTACCGATGACAAGAGCAATGACAGCTCAATTAGGGAAGGAATCCCATTGGATGCGCTTAATTGATTTGGAAGGGGATACGAACTTCACACTCCGAAAACAGTCGGCCGTGAAGGGTCAAAAGCTTGGGCTTTGTCTGTAGTCCCTCTTTTTTCTCTCTCCCTGCCGCTTGTCACCTTTTCTCGCGCGGATTGATTTTCACGCGCGCTCGCGTTTTGCTCGCTCTACTATCCCTGAGGAAAAATGGGGGACTACTCGTAGTCTAAAGACTTATTGGTCCACATTGTTACTAGCTTATGATGACGCTACAACCGAGGAAAGAGAGCTAAGTTTCTCACACGAGGTTTACCTTCCAGGGCACGGGCACGGGCACGGGCACGGGCACGGACGGAGATGAAAAGAAAGAGAGATTTGGTTGACGCAGAACTCGACCCTGAAAATACAAAAGGCTGACTAACTTCTGATGAGGATTAAAAACTACGAATTAAGATATTTTAACTAATTTTTCCAAGCAGAGCATACCGATTTCTTAGATAGCGTGGCTGCGTAAAGAGATATTCAGTTCCGGATTCTCCACTGACAATTCTAATTGTAAGTGGAAACAAACACATAATTCCCCTAGTAAACATGGCTGGTACATTTTGAGCTTTTTCTTCAAATCGATGCCGTAACCAAACTTCGTGCCCTGAGTATGTTTCTTTAAGGTGATTCCCTAGTAAAAGAACCTAACATAGATTGTGGATGAAACTTGGTACAATGATGTAACAAGTCAAGAAGATGATAAAAAAGTAATAAAAAGTGGAGGTCACCGTGCTCGTTTTGACGTCACAATGCTGACAAATACGGCTATTTTGGACCCTTTGACAAAAACCTCGCGCAGCCCAAAACTAGACAAAAAGGAGAGATTTTTTCGATGATGCATGTGGTATCGCACAGAATTTGACTTCATTGTATTGTTTATCCACTTACATACCAGAAAAATGCCTTTTAATGCCCCTGTTTTTACTTTACGCTCCAAAGTAGAATTGAATTGGACACGCGCTATTCGACCCGTGATAGCTCAATCCGTACAATTTAGTAAAATTGCCAAAAAACTGAACATAGATTTGTGCCAATTTTTTTCTCATCGAAAGGAAGAACTGTCCTTGTTAAAATCATGAAATAAAAAATGGGGGTCACCGTACTCGTTTTTGCGGTAGAGCTGCAGAAAATGCGCACCAAATGGATTTCCTCCGATTTTTGAGAGAGGACTGGGGCGAGCTTCAAAATAGAATGTAGCTGAAAGGGGGAAGAAAGTATTAAAAAATCCGTTTTTACACAATTTACATCGAGATATCACAGTTAGAACACAATGTGATAAAGAAAGCGTTTAAATGAAAATCAAAGTGAGTAAGCTAAACATCCACTATCGAGGTTCTCCGTGAGGAAGTCGAACTTAGCAACACGCGTACTGCTTACGTTATGCACATTCCCAACACGTTGACTCTCACCTCGGCAAGAAACAACCTCAAGCAAAAATTCCAATAGCGTTTCTCTTCAGTCAACTTCATTTTAATACTGTTACTTTACATGCTCTTTTTTACGGCGGCCATCTTGTTATGCGCAGTAAGAGGTGCGCAGTGCAAAACCAGGGAATCACCTTAAGGACTTGCGGAGCTTGGTTGGGGAGTCCGGCCATAGCGTTTTATTAAAAGCAAAAAATGTCGAAGTTATTGATAGAAAGGGAAGAAGGTTTTCGAAATGGAGAATAAACCTCCGAGAGGGAAATAAATGCGGATAGTTCATCGTATAGAGAAGAAGATCAGGCAGAAGAGATAGTTTCTGCGAATGGTAGTGAAGCCAAGGAAACCCAAGAGAGTGGTTGCTCTGAAAGGACGACCATCTTTCAAACTTAAAGTCTAGGTGAATTCTAACTTGTACGCATCTGATTGATTACAAGATTTGCCCTACCTGTGATGGTAAACACACCAGATCCTCGATAAGAGAAATTAAATGAAAGAAGGCTTTCTTTGGTGTCACGATTAAGGAGCATTATAACAAACGAAACATTGGAAACCACTTTTAACAATCTTACATCAGCAGACTAGAAAGATTCCACCGCTTTTTATGCAAGAGATAAAATCAAAAAGCTATGAGATGATGGACGTTAATGTATTCGTTAATGAGATTAATTTACCTCCTAAAGAACGGAGTTACACAGTCCTACTATACTACTTTTAGGATTACAGGCCTTGCCCTTCAAGAAAAGATTTCCGGCAGAAACGGAAACTTGGTTGATATCTAGCCATCTTTTTGAAAAATGCGCATATACTGCATTGAAATTACGGGAAACAATGTTGAAATCTAATGACACTTTATAGACCCAATGTAAAAATGGCCACATTAGTTTCATTTCTTTTTTTTAATATTCAGATTAGCCTTACTAGCCTTGTTCTTAAGTGCAAAATTCCAAAGAATACTTTATCTCGGGGAAGGCTAGTCAGGCTAATTTTAATTTAAATGAAAGAGTATTAATTAATCCAGCAGCCATTTTTAGGGGTGGTGTACGAGCTGCTCGTAACTCGTAAGATCTCTCCTAATTGGTCGCAGGAAACAATGACCTGTCATTCTTCCAATTGTTTTAGTGTTTTTTGGGGACAGGAAAACGCACCATTGGTGACTTCTCTTCCGAGCAGCTGCTACATGACCCATTTTTGTATTGGGTCTATGATGTGTTATTTTTCGTAGCTATTTGACCTGAAACATACCTTGAATTCTCCAGTTTTTTCACATGTAGTAGCATACAGCCTGAAATGGTTCAACAAGACAGCAAATTAGAATACATATATGCAAGCTCGACATTTGCTCTCTCTTTTTTAAATGAGTGATTCCAGTTAGCGTCATTTTTGGAAATGAAAAAGTGTAAACATCTTGTCCCCTAGTTGTCCTTTTCAGGGATAATGAGCATTAAGCAAATAATTCAAAGGCAACATAACGATATTAAGAATTCCAAATTACAGAAGGTAATCCAGTTGTCTTTTTCATAAGCGACGCCTACGAACCTCAGTCGGGACTACCGAGAACAAATCCAGCTAGCGGTCAGGGCGCTCCAGCGCTCTAACCACTCGGCCATACAAGTTGGGTCCACGTATAAAAATTAAATAATGAAACGTTAAATGTTAAATGTTTCGTCTCTGCGAAAAAAAATCTTACCAAATAACTTAACATTGCTCGAAGGTAACGATACCAGGAAGAGTACTAGTTATTCAAATATGTTATTTTTGCCAGATAAATCAAAGGACTAATTGCGAGAACTGAAGGTACCATCAAAACATGAGATTACCTTCCTCCTTTTGCTATCCCTAAAAGAGAATTAAAAGATTAAACTTAGCAGGGTGTTAAAGTAACGACACCGTTAGTTAAGGTACGACGTGGACTGGATATTAATTGGTGAGAGGAATACTTTTACGGTTGAGCATTGATTCCGTCACTAAAGACATGGGAAAACGGTCACGTCAGATTTATATGATAAAGATAAAACGTTCCCATAAGTCCAGCCAGGCGTTGAATTGCCACAACAGATCAACTTGGCTTTTTTCTTTTCATCTTTCTTTTTTTTGTTTTGTTTTGTTTTGTTTTGCTTTTTTTTTTTGCAAAATAACTTTTTTAACGGTTTTTGGTTAAGCAAAATGTCATGTCCTCCAAAACATTCCAAAAGTCCGCAAAAAATGCTTTGGACAAATTGACCAAAAACTAGTTTTATAAGAACCCTACGTTTCCCTTAGGTACTTAGATTTTTACTCTATTATTACTGAAGATTTCACCGAGTTTTAAATAAAGAATCTACCTACCTAGTACCAATTAAATTGGGCTAACGGAATTGGAGATATAAACTGCATGTGTAATTGGCTTAAGTATTTTACAATCAAACAATAATGACACTCGGAGTCGTGTGTTTGTCGAAGCATGTCTTCTTAGACCGTCCTTAGACTGCTTCTCTGCTTCTACGCTGAAAAAGCCGGCTAAAAGTGGTCCGAAGCAGAAACAAATCGGCACATCGGACTGTTGTAGAAAATGTGGGTGCTTTGTATACCTCAATATAGCCTGCGTAGCATGGCGGTTTTGGTTGGGCGCGCTAAGTAATATAGGCGGGTGGTCAGGCGGGCGAGGGTAGAGAAATCGCGAGGAGATTGGGGCGGGAGCAACGCAAAACCGCCTGCATGGATGGGGGCCTTTTTGGAGTCGGTCCGTAGGGCTACATACGGATCGTTCCAATTGGATGAGAATGTTTGCCCGTCAATCAAATATTTGGTAATCTCCCATGGGAGAGTTCCAAGTGACTGAACAAATCATCTCCGCAAAACAAAATCAAAATATCAAAGGAGCGTTGACCGGAGCGTTGTCGATCTTGAATATTCGACGGGAAAACAGGGCAACTGTATTGAAGCCTGAACTGGAAATTTGCCATTTACTTCAAAGGAGAGATGTCATGGAAATGTTGCCAACAGGTTTTGGCAAGAGCATGATCTTTCTTACGACAGCAATAGTAAATCTGCTTCGAGAAAGTCCACCTAAATTTTCTCTATTACTTGGTGTTAGAGAATAGAATAACGCACTCCAGCGCACTACATCGAACGGTGTCGGCGATTGTGGTCGATGAATAGCACACAGGAGACGAAAGACGCACAGCATAATTCTCCATACTTGGTGTAGCTTAAGTTTAAGCTGAAACTGAAATCTGAAGATCGCCCTTTCCGTAAAAATTCAACATCCTGCAAACAACATTTAAAAGCTGGGCCCAGCGTCAAAACATAGCCGGAAATTATCACATTCAGAGACAAAGAAACTACAAGCCAAGGCTCATTGGGTGTAGTTATTCTTATCCAGACATTTTAGTCGGAGAAAACCAAAGAAGCTAAAATATTTATTTAGCCGTAATAAAAAGTCTTAGGTTTTAAGAGTGGTCAAACAAAGGAGTACTGTTCTTTAGAACTGCATCTGAGATCAACAAATTCTATCACAAACACCTACAGAGGCACTAACCACAGGAAATAATTACACAATATGGATGAAACAAACCAACTTTATGACCTCTAAATAAATGTAAGACTAAATGCGGCAAAAATAAGATTTACTCAGTCAGTTTTATAACGCAGTGTTGTCACCTACGCGCGAGATAGCAAAAAAGAAGACAAACCTGTGTTTGTTCAAGCAAACTCCAATTCCGGCCAAGGTCACGTTTTTCATTATATCACGAGCTTAGCCTGTCAACACTTTATTTCTGATTGGTTGGGAAAACTGAAACCAACCAAATAAGGAGGTGGCAGTTGAAAAAGCCACGAATCCGGGCAGGTGGTTTTTATTTTTCTCGCGGCGTTGCCGTCTGTTCGCGCGCCCTTTCGTGCGCGTTTTTGCGGCTTCGCCGCTTAGTAGTGCTCCCGACAAAACCGCCATGCTACGCAGGCTAACCTCAATAGCACCGGGCAATCATTACGTTCCCGTAAAGCTACAGAGAATCCTCTTTTGAGAGAGTTCGGCAAGGTGTTCCAAAACGAAAGTTGGCGGACGATTTAAGAGATCTTGGTTTTACTGTTTCGCAAACAGAAGATCAGTCAAGTAGGGTTTGTTCGCATTGCAGTAATCAGGTTACAAGCACCCAAGCTGGATTTTCTTTTATTAAAGCCAGCTTTCAAGAAAGCGAGCACGACGATAATAGGGCCGTTTATACGAGAGAAAATAAGCCGCGGCTCACTATATCCGCGACTTACATGAGACGCGAACACCCCGTATAAATGGTACAAAATCTATGTTCACGGTTTATTCAACCTAAGGCCAGCTCAAGCCGCGGCTTATCCTGGCCGAGGGGTTTTGGGATGGGCTTATCCAAGCCGCGGCTTACCTTGGACGTGAAAGTGTTCGTATAAATGCACTCAAACGTTGTCCGCGGCTTGCTGAAGCCGTGAACGACTGCTGCGCATGCTCTGTTTTCAATTATCATTACGAGCCGCAAGGTCGATTTTCGTGCACGCACCAGGATCTTTAATTTCCATGGAGATACCCATTAACTGGACTCAAGTAACTAAAAGGCGTTAGTCTTGACACATTTCCTTGCGCACCTCAGGTGTGCACATTAATCGCTTTCTGTCAGTTCATCTGTCAATAAACTCATTTTAGGACAGGATACAAATTTGCGTCAAATATCAGAGCTTGTCTTCTGCGCGCCGAATTTATACCATCGGAGCGAGATATTTTAACTCAGCTATGGTTCTCGTCAAAATCGCTTAATGAATACTTGAATTCATGGTTGGTGTTAAAAAAAGGGTCTTGTTGCAAGTCTTGGAAAAAAAGAAATATTTTTTTCGTTTCTTAGGCGAAAGGCAAAATCTAGCGCTTTATGAAGGTCGAATTCGAACCCTCCAAAGTAATAATTATTCGGTACGTTACCTGGTAAGTTACATATTGTCGCCGAAATGGTTTCAAAAGTTCAACGTGAAGAGTTCTGGATGTTATTTCGCATTATGTCCGAAGAACAGAAACTGTGTTCGCCGATATAAGGTAAGAGAGAACTTTATTATTTAAAAGGTAGAGGGGCAGCTTGTTATGGCTCTCGCATGCGGAGTTCGAGCACATCGGTGAAGCCGGTTTGACGACACAGAAATCGTGGTTCCAGGAAAAAGCAAACTGAGGAAAATATCTACTTGTCTTTGGTATTGTGTATATCCTCGATCACTATACAATAACGCGCAAATATTATAATTCAAAGGGCATTTACAACACGCGCCAAAAGAGCCGTGATCCCGCCAAAATGCTCGAACCATCTAACAGAGTGTAAAAAGGGGGCTGGTAGGCAACACACGACTTTTACCTCGTGCTAAAATGCTGCTGGTTCCAAAAATTGTTTTCTCTGGTGGGTATATTATATTCTGGGTTCTACTCTTTGAATGAGTAGATGTGAATTTTGCCGCTTGTTTCATACCGAGAGGTCATGACACGCATATTGATTTTCTGCGGTTATTGTTTCTGGTCGGCATGATTTGCCCTCTGATGCAAGAGCATTTTCTTCGACCTCTTTTGAAACGTAAATCTCTTCCTTTGCGGCTAAATAAGAGATTTAGGTTGTTTATTCTTCTCCAAAGTGCCTCCTGGATCTGAATAGCTAAAGGCGATATTCTTTTGTCCGTGAATGTGATGGTTTCCTTCAATTTTTGTCACGCTGGGCCCATCTCGTTTAGTATTTTCTGCACGATGTTAAATTTCCACCGAAAGTGATTTACAGATCCAAATTTCCAGGAATGGATTATAGGAACGCATTTTGTGAAGAGAGATTTTTTAAGTAAAAAGAACTCGGATCCTTAAATCGATCGTGTTCTAGCTAGCCAATTGCAGTTTTCATATTCTGTGTTAGTTTGGAAGATTCAGTGGATTATTCTCTCCTCTCCCTCTTGGCTTACAGGCGGCGCGCCCAAGTTTAAGAGGTGAAGAGAGATTTATTTAAATTCAAACACTCGTAGCTTGAGTCGATCATGTTTTACTAGCTAGCCAATTGCAGTTTTTATACGCTGTGTTAGTTCGGATAATTGGGCAAATTTTTCTCTCCTTTCCCTCTTAGCTTAAAGGCGGCGCGCCCAAGTTTAAGAGGTGAAGAGAGATTTTTTTCAAGGGTAAACCCTTTTCAAGGGTAGACCATGTTTTCTAGCTGGCCAATTACAGTTTTCATACGCTGTGTTAGTTTGGTAATTTAGTAGATTATTCTCTCCTCTCCGTCTTAGCTTACAGGTGGCACGCCCAAGTTTAAGAGGTGAAGAGAGATTTTTTTCAAGGGTAAAAAAACTCGTAGCTTGAATCGATCATGTTTTACTATCTAGCCAATTGCAGTTTTCATACATACGCTGTGTTAGTTTGGTTATTCTCTCCTCTCCCTCTTGGCTTACAGGCGGCACGCCCAAGTTTAAGAGGTGAAGAGAGATTTTTTAAGGTAAAAAACTCGTAGAATGAATCGTCATGTTTTAGCTAGGTAGCCAATTGCAGTTTCCTTACGCTGTGTTAGTTTTGTTTCTCTTTCCTCTCCCTCTTGGCTTCCAGGCGGCGCGCCCAAGTTTAAGAGGTGAAGAGAGATTTTTTTTAATTGAAACCCTCGTAGTTTGAGTCGATCATGTTTTACTAGCTAGTTAATTGCAGTTTTCATACGCTGTGTTAGTTTGGATGATTCAGTAGATTATTCTCTCCTCTCCCTTTTGGCTTACAAGCGGCGCGCCCAAGTTTAAGAGGTGAAGGGAGATTTTTTTAAAGTGAATAGTACATAGCTAAAAGCGATCGTGTTTTAGCTAGTAAATGCAGTTTTTTTACATTGCTTTAGTTTGTATAATTCGGTAGATTTTTCTCTCCTCTTCCTAATGGCTTACAGGCAGCGTGCCCATACTTAAGAAGCGGTGATAAAGTATAAAGTAAGTCACAGCTTGAATCGATCGTGTTTTAGCTAATCGTTACAGAGTTGTTGTTTTTGTTCATATCGTTAGTGTGTATAATTCAGTAGATTTTTATTTTCTCTCCCTCTTAAGTCTTTAGCTCTTATGCGATGCGCCCAATCTTACGACAAGTGGTGTTGGTTTCAAAAGTGAAATTTAGTAATTGTGATTTTTTTCTGATCTACGTCTCTCAGTCTGGACAATATTCAGCGTGATGCCCGTGTTTGATGTACACCGGAAACCGGAAAAAAGCTAGTTTTGTCCGCGGGCGGCAATACGTTAATTTCGACAGTTTAAGGTAAAATATTAAGATAATGTCTAAATCATTTGTGAACTGTGATAGTTTTTTTTTGCGTAAATATCTATGTTCGATCAAATGTGACAATTAGGCCAGATTTGTACTAGCGATGTAAAAATTTCCTCCGTCTATGTTGAAACCGAACAAACCTCGCGGGTATCCGCTTTGGCGGGTGTTCTCCCTGAGAGATTATTGAGTTGTTGTTTTCATTGTTTACTCATTAAGTTCTCAGTTGTAATTATTTTTCGGTAGCATTGTTCTTATTTACTGTTTATTCAGTGGGTCGGCTAAAATTAAAGACGAAGAGTGAAGCTCCAATGCAGAGTTTTTGAAGTCTATTTGATATTATGCTTTCGACAGTGCACGTGAAAAGCAACTACGTTGGGTGTCCACTTAAGATAAACTGGATTAAGTGTCGAAGATGAAAGATTGCTCAATAAAACGAACATGGTTGACAGCTTTAAGATAGGCTCCGGGTCTCTTGATGTAATATAACCCTTGGTTCAAAACAATAGACTTGGCGCCTCGCCCTTTAGAAATATGCGAAGATCGCGACGTTGAACGTCGCTATTCCCCGAAAATCGAGCCTGCGGCTTGTAATGTCCCAGACCTTCACGGCCGAGAAACGCGCGTTGCAGTGGCGGGAAAATGAGTTTTGTTTACATTTACAAAGTGGAAAATGGCGGATAGAGATTCGTGTAAAAAAAGAAATGTGTGGAGTGCCCAAGAAGGAAAACAAATCCTGCTTATATGCAGCGAGCTTGAGATTGCGGGGACATCTCGATGAAACCACTCAACGAATCGCTGTCGAATCTTTCGTCGGGGTTTTCGCATAAGTTTCCCAATTTTCTTTGAACAATTAATTACCTGGGAACCCACCACCAATCTCGACCGAAGAGACAGTTTAACGTGAAAAAGACAGTGAAAAAACAGCGTTTTTTAAGGGCCAAAGTCAGTCGTTTAGCATTTTTGCTCGCCCGACCCATTGTTGTGAGATGCAAACGCAATTACCCCAAAACGAGGCACCAGAACAAACTACGTCATCATTGGACCGATCTGGGCGCGAACTAAGCCGTGAACCAAGCCGTGAACCATTTATACGAGCAGTTCGCGTCTAACATAAGCCGTACTCGTATAAATGGTTCCTTTGGCGTCTTGTGTAAGCCTCGGCTATAGTAAGCCGCGGCTTATTTTCTCTCGTATAAACGGTCCTAATACCTTTAGGTTTTTTAAAAAAAAGAATGTCCGCATCACCTCATGGTTCCGCGGCAAGGTAATACAATGACTGAAATGCCAGATTTTCTCATTGCTTCAACTTGATCATTCATAATACTTCGTAATGGTGATGCAACTACAATTCCACGTTCTTTTCTCTTCGTTTGAGTTTCACTGCCCCGAACAAATGTTAAATTCAACTTTTCGCAAAAACCATGGGAAGAACCGCCACAACACCCTTTTGCTCCAGTAAATTCAAAACAGCCTGGCGCTGCTTTTCTTTGAACACGCATATGCTTAAAAATTGTGCCAAACAGTGGTCAGAGTTTACACTACGATACAAAAGACAATTATGGTCAACGTGGTCAACACAAGCTTGTAGTATGACTCCATCGCAAGTTAACAAGTCGGCGGCGCTTTCAATCGAAGTTATTTTTTATGCAAATTACAATAGTAAGTGTCGCGGTTAACGCGTCCAGGCAATGACAAACGCTTCTACTCGCATGATGCGAGCGTGATGAGTCGTTGACATGATGATGACAGGATAATCGCCGTTCAGCCAATGGTAATTTGCTTTTCCTGGGAAAAGCAAGTTTCAGTTGCTCCCAAAGATGTCTACAGACCCTTTTTTTCTTCTTCTCCCACCACTACCCCCTTGCGCTGGCGGTCAATAAATCCCTGCGGTTTATATTTTATCACCCGCGCTCATAGGACTTTGAAAAGAAAATAAAGGGTCTGTGAACAGGCTAATTGAGCACAGAGGGCTCGAACAAATTTCTTTAGTTGTATAACTTTATATAATCACCCTTGTTCGCCATCTTCTTGTCCTTATTTCTCCTCCACATCCACCCAGCAAAGACTCCAGCAAAGGCAGCAAGTACAACAATAGGTATGACGACAGCAAGAATGATTGGCACTTTATCGTCTGGAATTAGACAAGGAGGCATTGCCATTTTATTGGAATAGTTTAGCGCTGCGACCTATTGCAATGGTTGTAACGAAAAACAATTTCAATTAAGCTCCAACAGGTTCCATGATTACTGGTGATTACTGTGTATGTTTGAGATGCAACTTTAATGTAAAAGACGAAGAGCATTGATAGATCATATAATAACATACTAACTTTTATCGAGTTTGCTGATTCTTTTATACTTGTTCGACACAAAAACAGATTAATTGATTTGTCTATCAAGATACACACCTTTCTTTTTATGAGGAAACTTTGATTTGTGAGAATAATTACACGTGATGTTAACTTCACGTAAAAACGTTGTGAAATTTAGTTTTGGCGATGGCGCTCTACATCAACACACACACACACAAGTTTAAGGCTGAAGCAAAATTTTCCTGAAAGTCTTATGCGTAAGAAAAAGATTTAAATACACTATTTTTCGGCCTCGGTCAGTCCTAAAAAACCTGTGCTCTCGGAATCGAGTATGGACCTCTCAGCCGGCAAATAACACAATCATGTACATTTAGTTTCACTTCAATTCCTTATTCCATCTTTAAATAAAGAAAGACAAAGGCATTCATGATTATAAAATTAACACCTTTTTCTTGTACCTATAGTGTACCAGTTAATTATCAGGCTCTCTTATAGTTCACACTTGTTCCGTTAACTAGCTCTCGTTAATTTACCGATAATTAAAATGAATCAATAAAACAGTGTCTACGGGTACAAATATTTAATAAAGATATAAATCATATCATTTTTTTTGTTAATCCTGCCCGTCCTTTTTTTTCTTTCTTGCACCCTTCGTTGTCTATCCCAAACTATTAAATCTTATTAGAGGACCAAGCTAGAAAAAAATATTATAAAACCCCACAAAAAGCCTGTAGTTGTTTTATCTTAAAAAACCATCGATCGGTACCTGATAGCTGAAAACCGTTGGAGGAACAATACATATCGAGTTAAGTCATACCATGATGCACAGAAGATATTGCTGTAGTTTTTTCAGTAGGTGGCATGACTGTACTTTCAGTAACAAGAATTCCCTTAATGAATAAGTGTTTAACAGCGAGTTCTCCAAAATTGTTAACTGTGGCAGCTGTTCGAAGCGTATGAACTACCAAAGCTTCTGATACAATCAATGTAAATTCAAGGGCCAGTTTGACAGTTAGACTTCCACAACTGCAAGTAGAGAGACAATCAGAAGACTTTTTTGCCTTGTGTTGTTTTAACGCCACGTCTAAGTGAAGATGTGACCATTCCAGATGTATAAAAATTTAATTAGCAAATTAGGGTCCCTCCTTTTTACGGATTGATCTCTGCGTTAGCGCTGTATTACTCTACCAAATGAGCTATGGAGATCCATACATGAAGATCGGGCAACTGCCATGGTCTCATCTTCATTAAGGCTAGTTATAGTTATAGTTCATATAGTTCACACGATACCGGATACCTTTTGTAATTTTTTTTATTTTTTATTTTTGAGCCTCAAGAAAAATGCTATCTGTCCTCTTTGAATCTTTGATCAACTCAATGGCATAAGTTTACGTCACTATGACGTCAAATTGTTGATAGAATTTATTGACAGAACCCAAACTTCATCCATTTGCCCCCAAAAGGTACCAGTGCAGTGAAGAATACTATAAAATGTAGTAAGGCGTCTGATAAAATCATGAAGTTGGCTTACACACTATTAACTTATAGCAAAATCAGTGCGTCATTCATGATTAAACAAGGACCTGAACGATCCGCTATCTTGGATTACATTTCGTTTAGCTTAAAAGCCGTATAATTCGAGGAAATCGTGCAGTGATTAAACAGTTTCATTTCAGACTTTGTATGAAAAATTTAACGTAGTTGTTAAAACGTAGAAATACAAAGCAGCGAAAACTTACTACAACTATCGCGTAAATAACATCTATAATGACGAAATTTACCATTCAGTCTTTGAAAAAGGAAATCGATGGCCTGAAGAGTAAACTGGAGGCCCTAACCAAAGATTTTAAAGCCCTTAAAGAGCTCCTGGAGAAGGAAGAGTCAACGGACAAGACGGGACAAGATGGCGGTCCTTCGTCGCCGGGAAACTGAAAACGGCTTGCAGTTTCTTGGCGACGAATACGATGACTTACGGAATTCAAACACCGCTGCCAAGAAGAAACCTCGCTGTTTTGACCTTACAATTTGACGACGTCACCTTGAAAACCATAAATAAAAGTGTAAATCTTGAACCAAAAGATTGCATAAAATACCTAAGAGTCTAAATAAATGAGAATGTCACAGTTGCCAGTAAGATAAGTAAAACGATTCGTATGCTATCTACATTAAGACACTTTATACCTTCTTCTGTTCTTGTGAACATTTACAATGCACTGATAACACCTTACTTAACCTATGGTCTTATCCTTTGGGGAAACGCCTGTAAAACGTATCTCGACAAAATACTTCTCCTTCAAAAACACGTGCACTACGCTTAATACATTCTGCAAACAGACAAGATCATACTATTCCTTTATTCGTGAATGCTAAAGTATTGCCATAAAATTTCTTGTATTATGAATTTGTCTTAAACTTAATGCACGACATAGACGAAAGAAATGCACCGATAAATATTTTGAAATTGTTTTCAAGGACATCAAATTCACATCACTATTCTACACGCTCATCAACTTCACAAAATTTCTTCATAAAAAAATCTAGACTTGATGTACAAAAGAATGCGTTCTCTTGCGTTGTCGCACATATACGTACATGTATGGAATGAGACGCCAAATAGCTTTAAAAAAAACATATCAAGGAGGACCTTCCAGAAAAAAACTTAAAAACTGAAATGAGCTTTATTAAATATACTGAAAACCGAAGACAACTATATTGATAACGACAAAATCATGGCCAGACTTAACTTACAACTCTTCTCTCTATATATAACTAGTACCTATCATCATAATTGTTTCTTTTTTTTTTGTCCTTTAATTAGTTTTCTTTTTTTTGGTTTAATGTGGAACCATGCGTATTATACATTTTTCTCCTTTTTTTCGGAAAAAAACTGTCACTTTGTTAATCTCTTTTTTTTGACATCTGTAATATTTTAAAACTTGTGAGACTGACCTGCCTCGATTAGTTTCAGCTACCTGAAAGGTCTGTCAGATTTGATTGTAATAGTTTTATATATATATATATATATATATATATATATATATAATAAATAAACTTGAACTTGAAACTTGACAAAGAATATAAAGAGGAGGCTATGTTGATCAAAAAAGAAAGGAAAAATCAAAACAAACAGGGTGGTGCAGTTAACCCAGTTCATGAATATTTGATATTTCCAGACAGTTCTAGGAATTGGTTACTCATACAATGTAGAAATTAAACATGAGCTTATTCCATATAGTCACCACCTTAGATGCAACTGAAAAGGCAACAAGAACAGTGTTTAGTTGAACATGTTGCCCATTCTGATACATAACTCAAGGTTAAATTTTGTCAAAAGTAAACACTTTTTGCTTAACATCGTACCATCAGGTGGCTTTGGTGTAGTTTTACCAACGCCTGGGTGGGTTGTAACTAGAATTTCTGGTCGTGTTCCTTTGATGGATGAAACGTCTACATTGAAATTTCCAAGCTTCCCATCCTTAGCGGCGTCTTTAAGTATATTTATTATCCGCTTCTCAGTGACAATGGCACTAAAACTCAGGGTGAGATCGACAATCACACTTCCACATCTATAAGAAGAAAACAAGGTTATTAGAGATTCACGAAATCGTCTGAGTTTGGGCTTCCTTCCAGCCGTTGGTCCAGTAGCAAAGAGATCAGCAAGCACTGTAATTTTCAGGGAGTTATAATAACTCCTCTAGTGGGGCTAATTTAACTCCTTACAGTGGAGTTATTTTTCGTGGAGTTACTTTAACTCCAAAAAGGAGTTTAAAGAACTCTTTTTCAGGAGTAAAAGTGACCCCAGATATTGAGGAGTTAAAATAACCCCCAAAACGGAGTTATCCTGTACCTAAAATTTTTACTCCACTTTCAGAGTTAAATTAACTCCAAAAAGAGTAAAAACAACCCATGTAAGGAGTACAAATAACCCCATTTCGGAGTAATTTTAACTCCAGAGTGGGAGTAAAAAGAACTCTTTTTCAGGAGTAAAAATGACCCCAAATTCGGAGTTAAATTAGGAGTTAAAATAACCCCAAAAAAGGGGTTATCCTGTACCTAAAATTTTTACTCCATTTTTGGAGTTATAATAACTCCCTAAAAATTACGGTGTATATTATATATGTAAATTAATTTTATGAAATGCCATTTTTTATCATAGATATTTTTCATTAAAGAAAACCAGGGAGGAGCAGCGTGGAAGTCAACAGAAGTAAGTTTATTATTTATTTTATTTCTTGTTTTCTTTTCACTCGCATTAGGAAGGACTTCCGGTTTTTTTTTGTCCGAGGGGAACCGGTTCTAGTTTTGAAAGGTTCGAGTTTGCGCGGTATCTTTCTCCTTTCAACGGCTCTCTTCGTGAGTGGAGAGGTTTTGATCGGAGCGTGTGCGAAACGGGGACTAATATGAGCCGAGTTTGGCAAGAAATTCTATTTCCACGGTTTGCAAAGTGCCTGGGACATCATTAAGTCCGGGAAGGCTTAAATGGGCGCTCGTTGCTCAAAGAACTGAGCTTCGGGCACAATCCGAGAGACCATCCGGTGGATGGTGTATAACGTCTCTGCCCAGCTCTGCACACCGTGAAGAAGTCTCCAGCAGGCAATAAGGGGCAAATTGATTAGTTTGAACATAAGAAAAGAGGGCCAACGAAGTTTTTGGCTGTGATTTTTGCCTTGCTGGAGACTTATAAATTGTCTTGTTATTGCCAGGATGTAATGTGTCCCGCACGAGTTGAACACGGATTTCCCAGAATGCACTGCGAGAAAGGTTAAAAACATGTTTAATATTTGACCATTACAGTGAGACTGTTCTGTTGTTGTGTTTCAGTGTCTACGACGGAGGTGCTGATCTTTG